ATACATTCTTACAAATAGCTTATTTATCCTCGCATGATGAGATTTGCCACCAGAATAAGGTACACAGATGAGGTACATTCTTATAACGAATCAGAATTTGTATGATTTGAACGCGGGTTGAAGAAATACCTTCAAACTTAAACAGGCGGTGCCCACAGACTGATTTTTGGGTAGAAACCCGAACTTCTGTTCTCTAACGTCTAGATATTTGTTCTATTCGTGAGGTAGTTAGTACTCTTTTAATGAACATTCTTTAACAAACGAGTGCCTCACAGTCTTCATGATAGAAGATAGATGTATTTTTAGCAACCAAACCCTTTTTTAATTACAAACGACCTGAGGATATCGACGTCATAATATTTACCAAATTGTTGTTTGCAAAATCAAACTCTATAAATATCAGTGAGATGCCACCAAGTGTTCTACGAAGTAGGAATAAGTATGTTATTTGTCAGGAGTACTCTATAAGCTCTGCACTAAGGAATGTGCATCTTTAAACAACACAGATCTAAATGAACTAAATTGGAAATGAGCATAAGAAGTGATTTGGTGATGACACTCATTTCTCAGAAATAAGTGACTTTCACATCTAGTGCAGAGAGATTAACATAACAAACGTGAGCTAGTAAGATAGGTAGAGTTGAGGGTGAAAAACAGTATATTACAATAAAACACTAAGAAACTGTCGTTTCAAGGCAGCAGATCCTAGGGTCACGAATTTAAGTACGGCCTTAGGTCTGGTAATTCGGGACATGAGTTTTACTTTTCCGGGACTGTTTTATTGTTGGTGCTCGATTAGCTATGATGATGGTTCTTTTTGTGCACTAGTGGTGGAAATAATTTTAAAAAATTTTACGTGAAGATTGCTTGAGATATTTGACGTGTTTGAAAAGAGAACTGCAAGTCTGACCCCTTCTTAAATGATTTGCTAAATATTTCTTCTACAAACGTTTTAAAGTAGATTTGTTTGTAATTTTACCCTGAATCTTATGGTTACAGTAATCCTCGGCAGTTTTTGCACCGTTCTCAGACTCTAGTAAATCTTGTTGCGGATGGTTCGTGGTTAATGTTTTTGAACATCATGATAAATGACAATGTTCTGGCTGATTTGCAATGATAACTGACAACTTCCTATTTCATTGTGGAATTCACCTCGCCATGACGAAGCGTAAATCAGCTCAGTGGGTTGAGGTAAACAGGTTAAGGTAAAAGAATAGAGCGGATAACTCTATGATGGGCTAAGAAATAATAAGTTCACCCACATCCTAGAAAGCTAGGCTTACCAGAGAACGGTCATGCTGACCTACTAGGATATTTTCTAATGATCGACAGTCAGTAGAAGAAATACTAAAATTTTCCTCGCTTATTTATAATACTCCCCTGCTTTTACTTGAAAGCTATCCTGGCCAACCTAACCACTATCCCCTAGATAGATGTTTTCAACGACATTTTCAACTTTTATTTTAACCACATTACCATGTATGTGCTTATCACGAGCACTACAGAAACAGATAAAACCAAAGAATAAAGTAAAACGTAAGTCATCAGTTTACTCCAATGCGTTATCGGAGGCTGTTTCTTTCGCTCTTGTCTTCACTCATGTGTAGATTGATCAGAATGAATGAAATGAGGAAACAAAGATAACCTATCATTAAATTGCCCATCGTTCAAACTGCTTCAGAAAATTGGCTAGACGAACTTTACTGGATACAGAAAACATGAAACTACCACCCAACACCGAGAAATTGGTGGAGAAATGTCAAGTACGGCGGCCCGTTTGAATATCTGGGCCACTTGTTTCTGCTATCTAATTATTTCAACAAGCTATCTGTTTTTTTCATTTTGCTTTAACGTCTCATTATGTCCACTAATCGCATAACCTATACAGGCGCTTTTATGAAAAGCCTACGACCTTTCGCTGCACAAGTTACAAAAAAGTACTATAAAAGATATCGTGGTGGTTGGCTATATGCGTTAAAGAGAATGAACATTAATCGTATGTCGATTCCCGAGCTGCTAAATTCCAACTGCCGATCACTAATCAACAATGTGGACTATCTGCAATTCCTACTAAGTCAAAATATGTATCGTAATTGTGGTGTCATCACAATTCAAGAATCTTGGTTAAATGATTTACAGGACGACTTCCTAGTATCACTACGTGATTTCAAAATTTATCTTCACGATCGATCAAACAATAAAAAGAGGTGTGGCGGCAGTGTAGCTACGTTTGTAAACGTAAACTGGTGTCCATCTTCGTTTGTGTGTTTTAAGTTTTCAAATGACTATCGACTGTCTAACTCCAAGATGTCTTCCAAAACATCTGAATAAATACAAATATGTTTATGTTACCAACATCTACGTGACTCCAGACTGCACATCATCTGCGCTATCTGTTTTCGCTGGTAAATTCACTGAGTTTGTTGTTACTGCCTTCAGTGATTCACTGTCAGTTGTATGTGGTGGTTTCAATTCATGTGACTGTAGCTTCCTTACGTCACTAGGTCACCAAAATGTAGTAGATTTCCCTACTCGTTTGGATGCTCATTTAGACTTCGTTTTCATTAATGATGTGGGCATATATATGACTCGTAAACGTGCTCCATTGTCTAGCTCGGATCACTGTATAATTCGTGTTCTACCTAAAGTATATGGAAAGCATGTGAAGAGTATACTCTTACATCGAACCAAGTCAAATATAGGAATTACTCAGAAGAAAATATCTAAAATCTGAAAAACATGTTTCATACGACTAACTGGGAATTATTTACAGATGACTCACTGGAAATCACTACTGATGTTATCACTTGTTACCTTAAATTCTGTTTTGATATTTGTTGTCCCACTGAAACCATTTTTGTAAGTTTTGATCGACTTACATCTTCACAACTAAAACGACTACGGAGGGTGAAAGAAAAAATGTACAAGGAGAAGAACTCTAATGAAGTTCGTAAGCTAAATGGTCTGATAAACCTAGAGATTAGACGTTTCAACTGTATGTTTACTCAAAAACTCTTGTCTTGCAAAAACTCTCCAAGTATGTGGAAACTCTTTAAAGAACTTACAGGTGACAGACAGATTAGGAGCGATAACCAGCTGAATGTTTGTGACTTAAATAAGTCTTTTGTACGTCAGTCATCTGATGTAATGCTCCCTTCATCCACAGGTTTAAAGAATAGCTGTGTTCCTAGTTTCACTGAAACTGATGTACGAAGATGTCTCCAGTCACTTAATTCATCCGACCTGATGGTATCCCAAACCTCGTTTTTAAAAAAATTGTTTTGATGTCCTATGTTATCCATTCATGAATATCTTTAACAGATCCTTTTCATCTAATCTCATACCGAAAATGCGGAGAAAGATGAAGATAATCCCTGAACCCAAGAAAGTATCTGGTGATAAGAATGTGAAATCTAGACCTATTGTAATAACTTCACCCTTCCTCAAAACAATGGAGAAATTATTTGTACTTCCACTTCTGTCTGCGATAAATAAGCACACTGATCCGTATCAGTTTGCTTAGAGATCCAAAAGAAGCGCCTGAGATGCTGTTGCTGTTCTGCATCGCAATATAGTGTTCAACTTAGAAAAGGGTAAGAAGTATGTTCGATGCGCTTTTCTGGACTATACTTCAGCTTTTGATTCTATACCAAGACAACGTTTAATTAACAAGTTAATCAGCGTCAACACTGACAGCTGGATAACCAACTGGCTATGTTCCTACCTCTCTGGAAGGGAACAGTACACTGTGTTTGGAGGAAAGTGTTCAGAGTCTCTACTGTCTCATGAAGGTGTACTACAAGGAGCTGTTCTTTCATCTCTTCTTTTCTCTTTTTCTGCATGATCTGCCATCTTCCACAGAAAACACTGTTGTGAAATATGCGGATGATCTCACTGTATGTATGCCTATCTCTTCCTCTTTACACCTCATAGAAATGAATGAGTTTTTGTCTCGTATTGATTGTTGTTCTGTTGGTAATGGTCTCATACTTAATCCGTCTAAATGTCAAGCTGTTAACTTTAGCATGAGACATGAATGGCATCTAAACACCATTTTGAGATTCTAAATGCTTTTACCATCGGAGACTCTTTGATAAACACAATGTCGGAGGTCAATTATCTTGGTGTTACCTTTCCCTCTGATCTCTCTTGGTCTTCTCATGTTTTATTGTTATCGAAGAAGGTTTTCCGTCTGATTGCATGCTCTTGAGATCACTCGTCATTTACTCTTACAATTTGTCAATTCTTGCATATTACTTATTATTCTTTACTGTTCTTCATTATTCTTTCCCGGGCTTTTGAGAAATGAATTTGCTGTATTGCGGAGAATGCTGAAGGCAGTTAGCAAGATGTGTGGTGAATCTTTCGAGGTCATGATTAATATGGTTGTGGATAGACAGTTAAAATCATGCAAACTCGCGGCAGCTGTTATTTTATCAGATACTAACCATCCCATTCACTCTTATCTTTCTCTTTGTATATCTTCCGGTAGAACGAGACATAAAAACCCATGCAATCAAGCAAAAGTAAAAAAGTTCTATAATACCTTACCTAGCAAATATACTCTGTGACGAACAGGTTGTTAGAGTTAACCTAGTCGATAACCTGCATTCTTAACATGTCTCTAATTTGAAAAGTTTTACAGTTTTTCGTTCTTTTTAACCTTTTTTTTCTTTTTTTTTGTCTTTGTTTCTGGTTTTTGTATGTAAGAAAACTTGTTGAACTACTATGTGCCAATAATTCTATGTTGTTCCAAATAATAATATTGAATAAAGCCATTAAATAAATAAATAAATAAAATATGGTTTATATAAGGTTATCCATCAATAAGTATCCGTAACTTCACACTATTGTCTCAAGCCATCGTATAAATGGACACTGTCAGTAAAAATCATAATTAAGATTTTAAAATTATGTTGTCTTCCAGAATCACCTGCCGGACACTTTTTTTATAAACTCAAAGTTTGTTTGAATGTACCTTAGTTAAAAAAACTCGAGTACAACAATCAAAATTGAAGCGGCGGGTAGTTTGAATTCTCCATGTTCAGTGTTTCTATTTTAGTCAGCTATCACAAGGGGAATATGTTTCATATCCATTCTTTGTCAAGAAATCACTCACTAAAAAGCACATTATTTCTAATATCAGTCAAAACTGACCGAAGCACTTATTAGCTGAGGTCTGTTTCACTGATCCAGTTACACTGTTTTGAAAGTCCCAATCCATGAGCGATTTGGAAGGCAACGTCAATAAGTGTCACTCAAAGGACCCTTCAAATCCAGATATTCACAATGGTACTCGGAGTGCCCATAGTAAATCTCGTAAGTTCTGTTTTCGAGGAATAATATTAATCTTAACAGATAACTGTTCATCAAAAGAAACAGGTTCAGGTTTTATGCTGCTTAGCGTAAAACACTTATCAAAAGTCAAAAGGACTAAACAACGTGCAACAAGTATAGACAGCAATGTATCTGAAAGGAATGGCACAGAAACTTGTGAAACTTTGCCTTTCTCGAACTTCAGTCAAGTGGATGGTGTTTTAATGCCTCAGAACACTATGTGTGATGAAGCTATTCATGATGTTTATGGATCCGGATCTATCGAAGCTGAGGAGTTTGAAGACTTTGATGACCCAGAAGATGATATTGAAATTAACGATGATGGAAATGGAATAAGAGATGCAAGGACAGTATCCCAAAACTGTTTTGACGTTCGCTCTTGTTCAGTAATTCCAACCCCAGTTAAACCATCAAATGGTGGGGACATCTGTCAGGTAAGTCTGTTTAAGTAAATCACTTGCTAACAGTATTTGTATTCAACAGTTTAACTATCAAATAGCTATATTGATTAGAGATGCCTTTAGTTCATGTGTAATATTGTGTTTTTAATAATGTTCCTGAGAGATTTCTGGAAAGAATATTTTCGATCTTGAAAAAATGTAGATATTTTACTTTATGTCTTTTAAAGCGAATCTACTATACTAGTGTCACTGAATAACTTGCTACGGGATGAACAACGAGTAAGTTGTTTCTTGTTAATTGATCTGGAAGCTAAACCTGTCACGTGTAGAAAAATGTTAACAATAAAGTTCTGGTTTTTAGTAGTTAGTATTTTACTGCTTACATGTGCTTTTGGTATGTATCAGGTTAAATCAGTTTAGTGTGGTGTTAGCCAGGTAAGTTATTTCAAGTTAGAGATAGCTTACAGATGTTATACCCTGAAGGCCTCTTAGCACTCGGGATAATTTCAAGCTAAGATTCCAAGTTATGCATGCACGCACTATTTCAAATCGTCATTTTTTCAGTTCGAGCTGAAATCTCAATTTAAAGTACATGATATTTAGGGCATTTTTCCGTACATCAACCAGTAGTTAAACAAGCAATATGGTAATGTAAATTAATAAAACAATAAAATTACATGCTTCACGTTCAATTTATCTGATAGTGGAATCTCAAGAAATACTTCTATTCCAACATTATGCGACCGATTCTTTTGAAGTTAAGCTTCACTACACATAGCAACTAGTTTTTATATATATATATATATATATATATATATATATATATATATATATATATACCTTTTTTGTTTCAAGACAAATGGAGTTAGGTCATGACTCATCAGATCGGATCCAAACCAGCTATTAATCTTAAGGACAATAACTGTCGTCAAAAAGCTTAGACAATATTGTTTTTCTTTCTAGTTCCATCCATCTACAAACTCTCAGTCATTTGTAAAGCCATTGAACGGTCGTTTCAGGCCATATGATTCTGCTGACAAAGTTTATGGTAAAAAGTTCACATCTATGTATCAAGATGGCTACCAACAAAACCATTGTTTATCTCCCATAACAATTCCGACTTTTGGATATCCTAGAAATTCAGAATGCCTCCAACCTTTCCAGAGTGAATCTATTTACCCTGCATATTCTCGTGACCCATGTGACCTAGTTTCAATAAACCCTATCATATCGAATATAGTGTCATCATCAGAATCTCCGCTCCATGTTGATTACTGTCCATCTTCGAAACAAAACCTAAACATCGCGTATCATTTACGTGATCAAGGAACAATACCTGACCCTCACGGGTTTCGAATAAATTCGGACGTGTCGTACTCCAGGTCAATATGCAATATGGTCAGTAATAATTATTCGGATCCTCCAAATACTTCAAACTGGGTAAATTTAACAAATGTACTGCATCCTACATATCATATTGGTCTATCTCCTCATTCCAGACACGGTAGCTATAATCAACCAATAACTTGTCTGCATCACCTACACCCATCAACATCATCGGGCAACACAGCGTCAACTGTGTCTGTAAACAACCATTTAACGTCGGACGTCGTTGCTATGGCTGCAGCGTCACTCCCACCACTGCAACCGGCCTCAAGATTTCGTAAGGCTCGGATACATGAAACCGTAGAGCAGTGGTCCTATGGTCGGTTTTCTGTACACGATTGTCATTTAAAAGCTATCCCTGACTGGGTTAGTGAGCTTCAAAAAAGGTCGTTTGTACGCGAGAAAGCTGTTACGACTTTGGCAAACAAAAGAATCAAGTGTTTGTCATGTTTCATACCAAAAGGTACTGGTGAGTTTTGGTAAAATTATTTCTTACATTGTTATATGAATGGTTTCTATGAACTTCTTAGAGACAAACTTTTTACTTTCTAACTTGGAATTTGTTGGGATTTTAGGATTAGGATTCGTCTTATTTCCGTGTTAAATTATGTGCCAGCTATCATTTGAAGTAATAAACCTATCAGAAAGGGATTGTATTTTATAACTCACCAGGATTACTTTATTCGCATTTTTCTGACTATATATTCCTGTTGAAGTTAAAACTGACTGAAAATTTCGTTCTGAACAGTGCTTTAAGATGTGTTTTCTGAAAATTATTTATTTGAAGAGGCTCGAATATGATTCCCTGGCTGTGTTGGAAATAACTCAGTTCAACCTCTGCGATTTTCACAAATGTAATGCCATGCAAAAATTATTCCGGAAATTTTGCATTGACTTCTCTGTGGTAGTTTAAGGATTAGACCTTATTTAGCAATGTGACAAATATGTTTATTTTTGCATTAGTATAGGTGTATACTGATATCTCTCCATATATTGAGATGTTTTTGGCAAGGAACATGTGGTTATTTAATCAGTGTTACAGAAGACTATCACTAATTAGCTCAGGGTTCTAAGTATATCTTTGTGATACATAAATTTGCATTAATTCCTGGAAATTAAACATACCAGCTTTCGACTATAGTTATAGTTTTTGACATGGCCACATTTCACTTTTCGTATCAACAACTTAGAAAGTCTTTCTTATTATGTAATGTTGTGGTTAGTCACATGGTCTCGTCAAAGTCTGAAGTGAGTTGTTTTGTGAGAAATTTGCGTCGGATGGTGTTCGTTTGGGATTTTTATTTTTTAGTTGAAACACCTTTCCGAATTCACGATGATCACTGGCGGTGATCAGTCATACGTAGCGTAGAATATAGCACAATTCGCAGGTTACCACTTCATTAACTCATTCACCAGCTAACTGGTTATGAGGTACACTAAATATGAGGGTTAAAACTGACTTGTGGAAGTCGGTTACACCCTCAGTTCAAGTTAGTTTTAGTGCTCAACATTACTAAGAGCTGGGGCAGGCTTGATATCGATCTCACAGTCAATAAATTAGGAGTCGACTGCTTTTAACCATAGTTTCAAACAGCTGTCCTATATTATCTGTCATCACTGGGTTTCTCGTAGCTTGCTTTCTTTGCCTAATGCTACTCTTGATTTTCGCGCTGTTATTAACCGACGTTTCAACAATAAGTTCATCTATATGCATAGTATACTATGTTACTTCAGGTTTACTGTGTAACGAGTTCCCGTTAAGCAGGAAATAAACTGATAAATATGCCGGTTACTTTATATGGTTGATAGTAAAGATTGTAGTAGTTGGTCATGACACTGCTTTCCAACCATTCGATTCACAAATTGAAGCCTATTTTTTATTATTCGGTTTCGTTAAATCATATTTGTTGATATAATAATCAAATTGTGTCATAATTTACTATTTACGGACCTTTGTAAGAGTTTAGATTGGTGGTATACTGAAAATTCTATTGTCCTGTGGTATTAACGGAAACGATTATTCATATTCTACTACATTTAAAGTTTTCGGTAGCCTTAACAGTTTCAAGGTGGGATTCTGTTTTCTTTAAAACAGTAGTATTTTCATATAAGAGAATAAATAACTCTTCAGGTTCTGCTTATTTGTTACTAGTCGCTTTCTCGTAGTAAATTTCGGGACATATTGTCTTGATAAAATACTGTTACATCTACGTTTTATAACTTCTGAAAACTGTTAATTACTATAAGTGTGGATCTGACTATTTACCTGCTATTGTATAGTGGATCAAAGATTACTGCTGCCTGACACAAGGAAGAAAGTAAGATTTTAGTTGATTTGTTTATGTACCCACCTCAAATCCACAACTAATCCAACAACCTTTCACCATCGATTCAAAACTATCATAATTACACTGTATTTCATATCTGGCCATTAGTCAAATTAAAATATATTGAACTAGACAGTAGTTGATATAAATTAGTCAGTAAATAAATGCATATATACGATTTACATCAATATGTCTAACTGGATTAGCTAGCGATGTAAAGATTACTGACTTGCATATGTAATTCTTCCTGACACAAGGACACTGTTTCTGAAGCGGGTTGAATTTCTTTCACACTAATAGTCAGTTGACATTTTTATTTTTGTTTACAGAAGATAAAGAATTATCTGTGTTCCCACGAGCCACACATGACTCTGCACATGTCGGTGCTTCTGTCGACCCACATTCCAGACACGCTCATGAGAAAGTAGATGCCCTGGAGAATGAATTAGAGGCTCAATCAATGGTTTTGAGTAATGGGTTTGCAGGAACTAATCTTTTCTCTTTTTGGAATAATGGTCTTCGTGTTCATAGTCAAGTTCCTTTCACGGCTATTCACATACGCAGTTCTGAACCAGTTTATGATTCTTGTGGGAATTGCGATAACGCTTCGCAAGATGTCATTGAATTGGAATGTAAGGATCAGTCAACCTGTGCAATCAATGGCCATTACGAACATTCCGACTCTGTTGACTCTTCATCGCAAAGAGAAAATAGAATTCAGGGTGACAAAATCGAATTTCCAGATAGTTCTGCAACTCCTCTATATGCTTCAGACCCTGCTACTGCGTATTTGCGTCGACAAAACATGGGTATATCAAATTACGTAAATAAGCTGTCAATTGTTACGGAGTTGGAACAACATTATGATGACTCAGCAACTGCACCTCTAAAAACTTCGAATATGGCTACTCTCACCAAATTAGATTCCACCTATATGGATTCCAAAAAGGTTTCCAACCGTACCTCTGAATGTGGCAATTCGCATATGGATGAAATTTGTTGCTGTAAAACTTCGGAAGCTATTTCAAATAATGCTCCTCCAGTTAGTCCAAATTCTAGTTTCGTTCCCAACAGGCCCCATCAAATTCCACTTGAATTACAAATTTCAGCGGAAATTTCGAAATCTAGACTCCGATTGTTGGACTTACTACCTGATGATGATAACAACCTGGGACGCGAATGTACTAACATATTATCTATAGATCCAAATGTACAACGTCTGATAAATACGGAAGGTGCAAAACTGATCAACAAATGCGAATCTGAATATAGTTTTTCAAAATCTAACAATTCGGGTGGTTTTTCTATGAAATCATTAAAAAATAGTGGATCTTACTCTCAATCTTGTCGCCGTTCAAAAAGCTTTGATGACAGCTCGTGTATCAGTCGTTTGAATAGAATTAAAAATAATAGGTTGTACAATTCTGACATCGTTAAAAGGTTAGTGCCTTTTCATTTTATATACATGGCAATCTCTATATTTGCTGAAGTTTTCCCTTATTTTTTGACCCAAAAACTAACTGAATGTTAGGAGTCATACTTCAAAGAACACTGGTTTAGTATCTTTTGTTTACCTTGGTTTGGTGGTCGGGATTGTCTATCGTGATATCTCAGTAGAGTTATAGTGAATGGAAGACATCGTTTCAGGTCCTGCCATGCCAACAAGGCCAATTGGATACTGTTAAAACTTAAAGCCGCTACTCAAGGTCCGAAGGCAGAGCCATGCAACTGACTGTACCGGATTGTGGCGACAATAAAGTGTTTCCCTTCTGCCTTCTCAAAACGGAAGGGTTTAGAAAAGGTCAACTTTAAACATGTCATACGCCACTTTACCCCATAGATTTCAGTCTCCAGTTGCATCAAGATACATCAAAAGTTTTCATAGAAAAATCATGCGTGATCAGCCTCAAGGGGCTGTTCTTTGAGCCCTGCGGTCTCACGCTGAGGTGTATACAGCCACTACCAACTCAGTTTCCTTTTGAGGTCCCCAAGGAAAAGTTACGACTGTTCTCATAATCTAATCGTACTCGAAATCCTCTTGTCCACTATCAAATCTCTCCGTTACTTCTCAACCTTCCCAATGGTCTTTTCTACCTTTACTGACGCTGTTACTACCTCTACTACTCTAGGATTTGTTTTGATGACTTTATACCGTTGTAGTAATGTGACATAGCAACTTGGACCGTTTCATTTGTGTGCTAAGTTCTACTTTGTGTGTGACATTGAATATTTTTATTTCTACTGTCGGCCCTTTCAATACGACGGTCACCAAGCACCACCAATGCTAAAGATTCGAGTTCACAAAATTTTATTCCTGGTTTCTTGAAACTGCGCCCTAAACTACATGTTGAAATTTTCAATTTTCAAACATTGGAGTCAGACAACAGCCTCCTCTAACTAGGACTAGAATCCTTAGGTTTCGATGTATGCTGTGCCTACAAAACAAGCATATAGAATCCAAGCGTGATCATTTAACCCCACGTAGTCGATATCGAAAACCGCCACGATATACTCCCATATATCTAGGGTTTTGGCTGCTACTTCTCGTGACCTCTCTGGTTTTGATATAACACTGAGCTTGGATGCAGCAGGACAGGTTCTCTTGTGCATCATCTGACTTGACAGGGGGGATGCAAACGCGGGAAGATATGAACAAATGCTATTGTCTTTTCTTCGTTTCTACCTATCCTCCCACTGACTGTCGCTCGGGTTACATAGAGGACGTTCTTTGGAAAGCTTTCCGCTCTCCTACAAAACGTCAAACTCTCAAACGTCATAACTGTAGCAGACTCAAGTAGGCAGTTTAAATCAGATACATGGGTGCGTCTTACATTATCTCAGCTCAGTGAACAGACACTGGTACCGTCTAGTCCCTCAAATGCCCCGGTACGATCGAGAGTGGGTAGAGTCCGCTCTCCCTCTCGAAATACTCTCACATGACCACGCGTATATAGCCTCTGCCAGGGAAGTCCTACTCGCTACCTTCTCGTGGGGGGGGTGTTGTTTACGAAATTGAGGGGGCGAAAAGCGAGTGTCTGACGCTTTAACCGGGTTGGTGGGTACGGAGAGTTCTCCTAGGGGAGTTGGAAAATCCTGATCCCAAACTAATGGTGCACATGGGCTCCAGTATCCTGAAGGAACAAATGGTGTATGAACCAATCTTTAGGCACCTGCTACTATGGGACTGCATCTCCTTAAGATGCTCCACTGCATTGTGGATCAGACCTTTAGGTCGAAGGCTCCAGGTGTGGCATCGTATGAAAACCAACTTCGGTTTGGGCACACGGGCAAGTATCACAGCCCTCACACAAATCAAATGAAATTTGTGTGGCGCATATGTATCTGGTGCCTCCTTATACCATTATCTATGTGTTCAAATAAATAAATAAATAAAATCGTCTAGTGCAATTTACGTGGACAACTGGTCATTCTTAAAAGGATCAAATTTAAGCACAAGGAAAGACACTATCTAACATGGTGATCCCACAAATCTGCCCTAAAATATGCGTAAATGGATTATATCACCATCAGCTATCGCTAGAGACTCAAAAGACGCTCATTATGGATCACATATTCAGACTGATTGTGCTTGAGTGAAAGCACTCATCTGTCTGTCTTAATGGAGGTAGAGAGGTCACATCAATAAGACTTTGGGACTCAGCTTATTGATGAGGAAGTCTGGAACAACCAGAAAAAAACTAGTCAGTCATGAAAGTGGAATGGAACATTATGTATGTTGACTAGTTATCCAAACAGTTGTGAAATTGCATCGATGTTTACCAGTTACTTAAACCAAAACAGGGAAAATCAATGTATTTCGGTTACGACTACTGAAGGGAAGGATGCTCTGTAATCTATTCCATAAGGCTTGGAGTAGGATGAAGAGCAAAAGCAACATAAACATAAACTGATGAAAGGTCTACGCGATGGTCGTTACGATGGGTAGCGAACCCAGACGAAATGGAAAAGGTAACGGCTGTGAGGAACAATAGACAAATTTTCAGATTTATCTAAAGCTCGATATTGAAAATTTGAGTGTTATTAAAAGGGGAAATAATCCAATTTCAGCACAGAACATTGGGACTATGGGTGCAACACTTTTGAGACGAGTCTAACTCATCTCCCACGACTTTCCAGTTGCCTACTGTTACCAAACGGTCTGGATGGGATATCAACATCGGCCTTCCAACTCTTTGTGAAATTGAAAAATCCATGCTTACTCGAGGGCGAGAATGAGGAACATCAAGATGGAAACATTCCAGTTCTAAAAGTTAGATTTACTAAGATATCGACTAGAATACGGGGACTGGATTTAATCCCGCCTAACTAGACTCGATCACCTATCGTTCTATTTTATAAGACAAAAATCTTCATGCGGTCACTACGAAGGAATCAGTCTAATATTGTGTCTAAAATAAGCTCTTTAAGAGCAAACCATGAACACCGGACCATTTTCACTCTTGAACCTGTATATTTCAACCAAATGTTCCCCCTCTACCAGGTTCTGAAACACAGACATTTCTACCGACTCCCAACCATAGTTATATTTCTTGACAGACACCACCCAACTTCCTTGGCTGAGGTTCTGCGGCAATCTTTCATTGAAAGGCGTATCAATGAAGTCATTAGCAGTGTACAGGTTTTCTACACTACTGGCCGAGTTAGAGCTTATGGCGAATTGCCATCGGAAGTGGTCACTTCGAATAGTTTTCGTCAAGGTTGTCCGCTTTCCCCACTTTTATTTAACTTTGTCATTGACATGCTTCTAGAGATAACACTTTCATCGTTTGACGTTTCAGGGATTGATCTACCAGGAGATTCACTTGTTGACTTAGAATATACACATGATATAGTTTTATCTGGTGAAAAAACTGACGAGATTCAATCTTTTGACCACCCTAAGCGGCAGTGCAAGGATGTTTGCGGTGGGTTTTTCTCTGTCCACATGCTAAATGTTAATTCCGGATAAGCCTGAGTCAGCGCCTGAATTGATGATACGGAAGGAAGTAGTTGGACCCACCGACCTTGGGAGTCTCATCAGTACTGATTTTCCCGTACCTGACGAGATTTCGGCACGAATTCAGAAGGCTCAATTGACTTTTGCCAACTTGTTTGAGTTGCGGCGTAGGCGAGATATCTGTCCGCCAACCAAAGAACGAGTTTACCACACATGTCAGTCAGTCAGTCAGTAACAACGTAGAACTTCGTACGTATGTACATCAGTTCGAGTTGCCACACCACATTAGCACAGAGATGCAGTTGTCGATTCAAATCCCGTAGTGGTAGAGGTGGCAAGAGTATAAGCAGTAATCGGGAAGATTAGGGTTTGGAGATGTTATTTAAAGAGTATAATCCAGTGAAATAAATTTGGAAAGAGGAAAAAAGGGACATGAAGGATTCAGAAGATTAGAATTTGGGAGAACACAGAGAGTGGATGCACCTGCGCCATTGCAAACGATTTTGAGCCATGTCATTCAGGGTCTCTAACCATCGGTTGCTATCATCTCGCGGTCCCCAACCAGGTAGTCTACACCTACCAACATGACTCAGTTCACTTGTCAGTGACTTCATGGACTTGTGCCATGTTTTGGTTTGGCCGCCCCTAGCTTTCTTCCAACCTACTCCTATACCACTGAACATAGCACGTCGAGGCAGTCGGTCGTTGGGCATACGTAACACGTGTCCCAGCCATCTCAACTGATGAAGTTTCACTACTTCATCAATTGATTTGCCATCCTTACCTAGTACCCGTTTCCTAACAACTGTGTTACTTACTCGATGGTCCCATGATATACGAGCAATATTTCGAAGACACCTATGATCAAATACTAGTAACCTACGAATATCCTCTACTCTTACCGGCCATGTTTCACTGCCATAAAGTAGGACGGAACGAACTGCTGCGCAGTAAACACGTCCTTTGGTTGATAGACGGATATCTCGCCTACGCCATAAATGACGCAAGTTGGCAAAAGCTAGTCGAGCCTTCTGTATCCGTGCTGAGATTTCGTCACACACTAAACCACAAGGGCTGATGAGACTTCCAAGATAAGTGAAGCGGTCGACACACTCAACTACTTCACTCCCTATCACTAGTTCGGGTGTCGATGTAACCCAATCCTGAAGCAACATTTTGCATTTCGAGGGAGAGAATCGCATCCCGAACATGCTTGCATTGTTGCTTAGAGTGGTCAGAAGACTCTGCATTTTGTCAGCGTCTTCACCAAATAAAACTATGTCATCAGCATATTCTAAGTCAACAAGTGAACCTCCTGGTAGAAGTTCAACCCCTGGAAATTTAGATGAGGAGAGTGTTATCTCTAAAAGTACGTCGACCACAAAGTTGAACAAGAATGGGGAGAGTGGACAGCCCTGACGAACACCACTTGAGGTAATCAATTCTGATGACAGTTCGCCATAAGCTCTCACTCTACCAGTTGTGTTCGAGTAGAGAGCCTTTATAAGGTTAATGTACTTCTTTGGTACTCCTTTCAGTGACAAACACTGCCATAGAACCTCACGATCAACAGAGTCGAATGCCGCCTTAAGGTCGAGAAATACTACCATTGTGGGGCGTCTGAATGTGTGTCTGTGTTCTAGAACCTGACGTAGTGTGAATATCTGATCTATACAACCACGTCCAGGTCGAAAACCAGCCTGGTTTTCTCTAGTCTGCTCTTCACGAGCTTTGATTAGGCGTCGAAGTATTATTGAAGCTAATATTTTAGACACTATATTAGTCAAACTGATTCCTCTGTGATTGTCACAAGAGGACTTTTGTCCTTTCTTATAGACTGGCACAATCAGTGATTGAGACCAGTCAGATGGGATTACGTCCAGTTCCCAAATTCTACCTAAGACCTCAGTTAATCTCATTGCTAATACTGGACCACCATCCTTAAAAATCTCAGGAGTAAACCTGTCAGGGCCTGCTGCTCTCCCTCGTTTCAGATTTCCTATGGCTTTTTCAACTTCGTAAAGGGACGGAGGACCTACATTAACTTGCCATTCAGGTTGACTAGAGATCGTGGGAAACCGAAGTGTGGCTGAAGGCCAGTTGAACTGATCCCTAAAGTGTTCTGCCCATCGATCCAATCTCCTGGATTGAGAATGAATAATATGTCCATCTTTCTCTGAGATTGTTTCGCTAACGGTCGGGTTCCTAATTCCGGTTTCCTTAACGAGTCTGAACAATTGTCTGCTATTACCTATTGCCGCTGCCTTTTCCATCTCTCTTGCTTTCGCTACCCACCACTGTTCGCGATCATTGCGTAGACTTCTTGTCAGCTTGCGCTTAAGCTGACTCCGCTCTTCATTATGTTCAGAGCCAGGTGGAATGAGTTTCCGAGCATCTATCAGTGCGATAGATGCTGCTGAGATCCAGTGTTGCTCCCTAACCTTCTGGTTTACCTTACTAGCAGATATCACTGCTGTTTCCACAGCTTTTCGGATATCATTCCATGCTGCATCGGGGTGGGCATCACATACATGGCTGCCTAACTGTTTTCCTAGTTGTTCCTGAAATATACTCTTAGCTTGACTATCATTAAGTAGGCCCTAAGAGGTTTCCTTGCAGCGTCTTTCCTACGTCCAGTAAGACGCAAGCAAATACGCGCTCGCACTAGAGCATGATCTGAATCTAGGCATGTGCTCCAGAATGAGCGACAGTCTTCTATCGAGCCCCTCCATCGGTGGCTGATAGCGATGTGATCTATTTGGGTCCAACGTTGGGACGAATTAGGGGGTCGCCATGTTAAAAGATGTTTTTCCTTATGCTTAAAGTTAGTATTTGCAAGGAACAGGCGGTTATCTGAGCATAGCTGCAACAGACGGTCGCCATTATCTGTTCTTTGAGCCACGACACCATAAGATCCACCTAGGTGTCTTTCCTATCGCTTAGTTTACCTACTTGAGCATTAAAGTCACCGGCCACTATTACTACATCCGAGCGCCTAGCTTTTCGGAGAAGGTCCGAAAGCTTTCTGTAAAACTCATCTTTTACATCATCTGAGCTGCAGTCAGTGGGAGAATAGGCAGAGACGACGAAGAGGCAACGACGAGTGTCCCTATCTTTCCGGATTCTTACTGTTCCGTTCAGTCGGACAGCGCACAAACGACTGTCTACTGGGATCCACTCTAAGAGAGCTAGTTCTGCCCTAGGACTCAATGCTATACCTACGCCGGCGAGGCCACGGGAAGCAGAATCAGGGCTTCCAGATACACGAAGCGTAAATCGAGTCGGTTCTTTATTTTGGCATGGTGAGGTCAAATGAATGACGCTACTTGGATCCTGTATGCGCGTTTCGGAGACGCAGCACACATCGATGGCGCGAGATTCTAAAGTTTTAGCTAAGGAAGCCTGCTGTCCTATTTGGCAAAGTGTTCGTACGTTAAAAGCTCCTACGTGTAGTTTAGAGCGTGGTTTCAGGAGACCAGGAATGGCGTTCCACGTACTCGAATCGTTTGCCCTAGCGGTGCGAGGTGATAAAGAGACGTGAGGAGGGTTAGTCATGGAGATAAGAGAGGTATTAGGAGGTGTAGGAAGGATTTGAATGTGACCAACTTGGTGTTGTGTGCTGTTACGGGTATGAGGGCTGGTGTCACTTCCCGGCTGTCTTACCGTTCACCAACCGACCTGCCTGGCATGATAGAACCTACAGGAACATATGTTCCAGCCAATGTAGCTCAGTTGGGTCATCACGATAGGCAAGCCCGACCACCGCGTCAAGGTAGCAGCTTCGATCCGGATTACCAAACATGAGTTTTATCCGTTCTACTTTGTGGGTGTGAAACATGGCCATTAAGAATAGAGGTTGTTCGTAGATTACTGGTATTCGATCACAGGTAACTTCGAAGTATTGCTCGTTTATTTTGGGACCATAGTGTAAGCAATTCTTGGGTTAGGCATTGGTTACCATGTCAGGATGGCAAATAGATTGATGATGTAATAAATCTTCAGCTGAGTTGGCTGGAACATGTGTTTTGCGTATGCTCAGCCGCCACTTGCCTCTGCGAGGGATGTCTGGTGTAGGAGAAAGTTAGGGGCGGCCAAGCTAAAACTTGGCATCAGTCCTTGAAGTCACTAACTTCTAGTCTTGGCCATGTTGGTAGATGCAGACTACTTGGTTGGGGTCCGCGTGACTATCGTAACCAATGGTTTGAGACTCTGGGTGACATGACTCAGAATCGATCACAATGGCGTCGGTGTATACACTCTTTGTCTTCCCTTAAACCATGAGATTAGAGTCGCTTTATATCTTTCTTTCTACGAACTAATTCTTTCTTCATGTACTATATTCTTTTACACAATCTTTCGTTTATATATTACTACCATTGAAGTGACTACTATGAATTCGGTGTTCATCTTGTTGTGTTAATGAGCTGTGGGGCAACTTGGATCGATGCATATATGTCCCTGGTCCTACCTTGTAGCTGACTGACTGACTACTCCTACGCCAGTCAGTCAGCTACAAGGTAGGACCAGGGACATATATGCATCGATCCAAGTTGCCCCACAGCTCATTAACACAACAAGATGAACACCGGATTCATAGAAGTTAATTCAGAGGTGGTAATATATAAAAGAAAGATCGCAATAAGGATACAGTACAGGAAGAAGGAATTAGTTCGTAGAAAGAAAGATATGAAGCGATTTCAATCTCTTAGTTTAAGGGAAGACAGTTTTTGGGTGATATGGTTCAGAATTGTCCAAAATAACGCAGATGCACTCATTCTCTGTCTTCACATCCTTATTTTCTAGATTATCTCAATTTTATTCCACGAACCCATATTTCATCGAATCATATTCTCTATGCCAAATCTTTTCCACTGCAACTGATACTGTTGCTACTTCTATCACTCCAGGATATAGTTTGATTAGTTCATTTGATTGTGCTAATGTACACTGGCAACTTTAACCAATGCACATAAGTTCTATGTAATCTGCTGTTGTTGACTAACTAGATGAGAATAACATGGAATCTTGACATGATGAATAATTCTCTTTCATGTATCCTAACGAAGTATGTTCAAGTTTTCATCGATAAACAATTTTTTTTATCCAGTTTTATTCCGACTTAATATAGTGTAATGTACTACTTCCTTCCAGCTGCTTTAAGAACAGTGTTCGTCAGATGATTGATTATAGTTCACAGTTTCCTTGTTTATTATTGCTAGCGTTTTGGTATCCATTGTGTATTAGTTTTTAGCGTTTGATTATACTTCTTTTATGTATAAATTTACCTAGACTATTACTGTTACCTTAACGATTGCTATTATTACATATATTTTTACATTAGGACATGCGCTCCTTTAACTGTTAATAATGTGACCAGTTCTGGATCACCAAAAGGTATAAAGTTCCCTAGCGATTTTGCCGAGGAAGTTGAATACTACCAAAATTCCAGAGAATCTTCGCTATTATCAGATCGTCTCGAGGCTCGAATCCGTGCTAGTATGGTAAGTTGGAAACCTCATTAACCGTGGTGGATTGTTGTCTGATGAAATATTGGGACATATTCAGAAAGCTCGGTTGGTTTTTAGAAAATTATACCACTCTGTTAACGAAATGGGGTGTATACTGCTCAATGATTCGCTATATTTTACTTCATGACAATGAAAAATGACAAAGTCGAGGACATTCGTAGGTCACGTATCTTTAGAGCATTATTTGTGTATGCGTGGTCCACCATTTGTGAATAGTGATAGGGTTAAAGGTCGAGTATAAGTAAATATAGCAAAGCGTTTGGTGAGATTATGAATCTGCATCAATTGAGGTGGCTGAGACATATTGTTTCTACTGAGCCCCCTTCCACCTCAACGTATGATCCTAGCTGGTGTAGGAATAGCTTGGGATTCAAAGCAACACCTCAAAAAGTCCACTTTGCAATATACACAGTAAAAACACCATGGATTTCTTTTCATACCATTCACGATACAGTTTCCATCAAAACGGCTTCAGATACAGTGTTTACTACTTCCCTCTTCGGATATAAATGTCATCTGTTACAGCGTTAAATAGAATTGCAGGAATCAATTGAAATCTGGTAAGTTTTTATATCACTAATGATTAAGTGAAATACCACAGAAATGGGATGGAATTTTAAAGCACAATTCACATACATGGAAAATAAACAGCTAACTTTCATCTAATATACTCGTCTAAACTTGAGTAGATTAGGATGCAGTAAAAAATATTGGTACATTACTCATGTCATTTGGGTTACTTTGCTTTGTAAAAGATAGGAAATATAAGCGCAAGATTCAGTTAGTCTAAGTCCAAGTTCGCATCAAATAGCTGTGATAATGAGATGATAAACGAACATTTAATTTGTCTTTAGGGCGAAAGAGAAAGTTCTTAGTACGACATCATCCATAGGCAGATACGTCCATTCTTAATCTAAATCTTGATTTCCGGTGTTATCCCATACTTTTTATCCTATGATTTTATTTTTATTCAAACCTTATTCTCCATTCCTAATTTCTCTCCATTCATGAATGATATTACTATAAAATTACTTTTATTTATTTCGTCTAACTATACTCATATATCTCAGCAACCTAGGCTGATGCACGTTTGTGCCAGGTCCCATGTTACTTACGATGGACTAAATTTCAGTTGGCTGCATTTAATATGGTCAAGTAAATTTGTTGTTGATTAATTTGACTTTTTTGTGACATGTGCCTTCTGAAACAAAGATCCCTGTTGTGTTCATAAAGATTGTCTTGGTATGTTAAGCAATAGTTTTGTTTCTCTATTTATAGGAGGCCATTCGTTCGACGTTAGTCAATAGTTTTCGAGATGAATTGGCAACTGTTCTGGCTGAGAATGTCAATTTACGTTCAGAAATAACTCGATTAAACTCAGAGTTAACGCTTATCCGAAGTTATCAGCATGCCTTCTTTGCTATTCGACCATTTGTCCCACCTGGCTTATGGGAAAATATTTGTGTTCAACAAGGATTACCTGTATCATCTTTTGATTCAGAGTACCAATCACCTTTTAACCCACAGGTTTCCCGGTAAACAACAAATCTTCATCGCTATCAAACAAAGAGGGTTTTTCTATAATTTCCCATAAATTGTCAGTGCAATAGTTATCCCCACGGCGATTTCGGCCGCCAAAATCCTGATCTCACTGCTACAAAAAACACGCAAAATGTTTTATCAAGTTGATTTGCTTCCTGTACAAGATTTTTCATGTTTCTACCGATTATATTTTCGTTTCTCGTTTTTTTTTAATGTTACTCAAGTTAGCTTGAGATAATCGTTTTGTTCTTCGAGATCTGCAAACAAGTATTTATCTGCCAAAACAACTAACGATAACTTACGCCTTCGATTCTGTTCTACTTCGCTTTTTATGTTAGCCTCTTTTTACCAGGCTCTTTCATCCCCGCAACTATCACTTGGTGTTGCTGTTTGAGTTCAGGCTGTTTTGACAACAGTAACTGTACACATTTACGTGAACACCCTGCCATGCTTTCTCAAGTATGTAGGCCTGAACTGTGATTTTCGAAGACTACTTGTGATGTTTCCATGTTTGTATTAAAGCGAAACATGTACAGTTTTATAGATTGTATTTTTGTGTCTTAATGGTACTCTCGATTTCTGATTCTTTTCTCTTTTCACCTTAATATTCTAATTTCGTGATGACTGGTAAATATTTATGCTAAAGTAACGTAGTCAATATGTGTTCATAATTTGAATTTTTCAGTCACTTTTGTCAGTATGTACACATCGTTCGTCGTTCCCCTCAATTTGCTTATTGTTGCACTGTATTCACGTCTTTTATTCGCTCTTTTTGTCTTATCGGCTTCTTTTAGTACATTTTCGTTCCTGGTGATGTTGCTTGTCAAAACCTAACTACCCACATATTTTCACTTCCAACTCGGACCTTTGTTTGCGAACTATGTATCAACATTTTCTACCATCAATGGCTTCGATGAGATTATACATTCCTAAAGTGACCAAACTCACTTGACATGCTTTTTTAAAAATTCAAATGTTTTGTGCCTAAACAGCTATGCATTTGTGCCTGTCATTGGTTCGAAATTTTTTGAAGCGTTTGAATTTCATTTTACCGTAATGGGAGTATTCGATTCTTTTATTGCATGGCTTCATGTTTCGTTATTTTGGTTTTCGTGTCAATCAAAATTCGTGGATTCTACAAATTTTTAGGCCAGATTCTGTAGAAAGGTAATTGTACTTAATATCATGGACTAGTCCTTTTTGTGTTTATCACTATAATTCATTGTAAATAATTTTTGCATTGTCTGTGATTCTATTGTAAATGCGCACAAAATTGTAAACGTAAGACCACCTCTTTTGGCCTTTTCTGTTAACCTTTTGTTCTGTCAGTGTTCCCATCCAACTAGTCAAAGTTTTAAAATATTCAACTTTGACGTTTATGTACTTAATGTAGATTAGTAGACTTCATTTGTTAACTTTATTGGCATTTTCCAGGTATTAATATTAGTCAACATTCCTAAATTCACTGGTAGTGAAATATATTTGAAAAAAAAAACAGTACTGGAAGTATTTAATCATAATAAACTTAATTGCTACTCATAATTGATTTTTTGAATTAAGCCATTAAAAACCGTCATAATTAATGTATACCTTAAAACGGGAATCGGGTTATCATTAACATCTTGCTCTAAAATTAGAGTTAGTAATTATTTCTTAATGACGTCATATTAGCAGAATAAGGGAGAAAATATGCATCTGTATTAATCAAATCCTGAATAATATTGCGGCTGGTCATTAGGAAAGAAGTCGACTATCTATACTGGTAAATTCTTTTGTTTCTTAGTTGAAGTATTACACAGTACTGAAGTAACTATTAGATTATAGAAAATTATGTAACTGAAGTATTCAATATACATGTTAATCGCTTAGCTGATGAAATAAGAAATAAGTGGTGGGGTGGAAACGACTACCATGTAATCTATATATAATGTGCGGTAACTATAGATACATCAGTAAACTACTAAGACCAACAATGCGTCAGCTACAACAGTACTGGAAGAACATAGAGGAAAATTTAAAATAATCATAAACCATTAAGGATTAGGAAGCAGGATGAACCAACCAGATAATTTTCTTAGATCTAGGTGGTCAATTAGTGTAGTTTCCCTGCGATTATATCAGTAGTTGATCTGTCAGTCTCTTAACTATGTCAATACTTGTGTAATATTGTATATTGTTGCGGTTTCTTTTCGTTTACGAATAAATTGTTAGCCCGTTTGTTATCTTATGAGATCTCAAAAAATTGTGTTATGTATGACACACTGGTCACTTTTACTTTTTCTACCCTGTAAATTATATAAATACTGCTTCGAGGACATAAAGTATAAGTTTTGTCTACGGATTCAATTATGAGGATCAGTGCAGGATCTTGAAATACGGGTTTTTATTATATAATCGCAATTATACTCTGAAATACGTTTTTAGCTTACCAGTATAAACTGTTTATGGTAGTTTCATTGCATTGAATATTTTCAATTTACTCGAAAAATGTCTACTTATCAAGTATGCCTAATCTAAGAATTAATACTTATTCGATAAGTTGGAGAAAATTTTTTTCCAAATCAGTAATTAAATTTACTAATGTTCTCATGAAATGTTTGGGATGTCACGTATAATATACAATGCGAATTCATATAGGTTTGTTCAAATGAATAAATAACCTCACTTAATTTCTGGATATATATATGAGATTATTTTCCTAAGTAAACTGGATATGTACACGAAAGGAAAATTAATATAATTGTAAGCAAATTTGTAACCTGTTCGATGGCCTATTCTGTGGTATATGCAGACGGTAATGTAGACGTTCACTATTCAGTTCCTGCTATGATCGAAGTTTCATTTCTAATTAAATTATCGTTTCGACCCTTGGTTATGAGGTTATTGAATCATTTTCGCTGCAAGTATGTACGTATTATTGGTCAGAATTATGTATATCAGTTATAATCTATCCATCAACTCAACAAATAGATTAGAATCAACAATTTTATGTAATGTACATATTTCAGTAGTGATTGGATTGAAGTCTCTTTAATTGGCACAATTCTATTCGCTCGTCAACTAATTATTATAATCTTGTAATACTGTGATTAATAATCAATTACGCTTTATATAATTTAGCCACATGGTTATTCGATTATTTTCTGTGCTTATGATTCATTACACTTTATTTATTACGCTTATATTTATTTTCTCTGTTCCTAATTGATTTGATAATCCCATTCTAAATTTATTTAGCTAATTTTTCTCATCTATCGATTGAAATCTATGAGTATATATAAATGTTTGGGAATGCGATAAATATATGACCTAGAGTCAGTCTTGATAAAGTACTAACTTTGTTGTAAATGAGTGCTGTTTCGGTTGCTTTTTTGGAATAGTTTCTTTCCTCTTATTGATACGTTGAATTTATATTTGGGGAGATTTTACCTTTTTTTGAAGATTGAAAGCGGTTGGACACTGGGAATATTTTCCTTTATGAGATGTTAGGTGGTTAGATGTAGTTGATAGGAAACCTTGGATCTAAGCTTCTTGCTATTTAGTATTCGTTAGCAAGGTATACCTTTAAACTTTAAGAAAATAAAATTCCCTGGAGGATTCGAATCCACATCGCTTGGCTTCATGTTCTGAATTATTTATTTTATTTATTTGCTTGAACACAGAAATATTGGTACAAAAGGGCACCGATTACATATGCGCCACACAAGTCACTTGGTTTTTGTATGGGCTGAGATACTGCCGGGTGCCCAGACCGAAGAAGGTGGTTTTCACACGGGGCCACACCTGGAGCCCTCGGCCCAAAGGTGTGATCCACAAGGCAGTGGAGCAACGTCAAGAGATGCAGTCCCATGGTAGCAGGTGACCAATAATTAGTTCATACGCCGTTTGTTCCCTCAGGATACTGGAGCCCATGTGCATCATTGGTTTGGAATCAGAGTTATCCAACTCCCCTACGTGGATCCTCCATGTCCACCAGCCCGGTTAAAACACAGGTATTCGCTTTTCATCCCCTCAATTTCGTGAGAACCCCCCCCACGAGAAGGTAGTGAGTCGGACTTCCCTGGCAGTGGGTATATAAACGTGGCCTCGTGAGAGCATTTCGAGAGGGAGGGATGACTCTCACCACCCTCGGCACTACTGCTAAACTATTTGGGACGCGACAGACCTCATGCAGAAGTGAATAGTGACCATTGTCATGTTTACTTAGTACGTTAGTGGTTATCGAATTCTTTCGATGAAGTTACTAGACATCGCGTATGTTATGTTGTAATTTTTGGTGGTTGGAGGCAATTGAGTGGAAACCGTGGACCTTTTTAATTCATATCTTTTTAGCAACGTTTATTTTCGACTTTCACTCCGTGATTGACCGTAAAACGTTTTTGAAGAAGGACATTAATATTGGGTGATTAAGTTATCATTTTGCCAATCATATTTAATTCGTGACACTATATGACTGATCATCAAACAAATCGTTCAGTTGCAACTTTTCACTACACTTTCTAATGTTTCATGAAGTGTTTTCCGTTTGTTTGTTTGCTTTTCTTGTGAAAATATTTCTCAGTTCAGTCACAAACTTAGTTATGTTTATTATGTACATAAAAAAGTAATTATCAATAGCATTGACACATACTAGGTCATTATTAATATGCATATTTTTGTTCCATCTCAAGTAGTTTGTTATCAAAAGAAGATTAAAATATGTGCTGGAAGAATTAAAGTTTGAGATTAAGCTTTATTTACCAAGCAGTTAAATATTCAAGTAAAAACTGATTACGATATCATGATTCTTATTGTTATTAACCAGTTAATCCATGTTTCAAAACCTCGTAAAACTCATATCTACGATTCATTCCAATCTTGAATTATTTAACGAAATTGTAACTTTGCACCTCGATGTATGAAATTCTGTGAATAGTGAGAGTAGAGCGTGATAGTGATTTTTTGCTATCTTGTGACTAGTTTCTGAAGGTTCATTTATAGATTAGTAGTTCATTTTAGTTTATCAATTCCTACTGTATTTCTGTGAAATTTTAGATGACAACTATAACTGAAGTTATATAACAGATATTAAAATCTTACAGGTATGTGGAGTCGACTGATTTTAATACAAAAGAATGTTGAGTACCACTAGAACTATTTTTTCTGCAGCATGGCGGTATTTTTACTAGGCTGTTGTTTTGGGAGATCATCCAATTTCCGATAATGATACACATAGAATAAGTAGGAAGCTTTTTTCGACTATCTCAAATCAAAGTGTATGGATAAACTCAAATATAAATTTGTCGCAAAAAACTAAGCAAGGTTTTTCACCAATAACGTGTATCTATGGCTTCAGAAAATCAAGACAAACCTTGATTAACTACGTGGAGCTGTCATTATCTCTTATCACTTAAGACTGAACAGTATGTTTGTTTGGCCTAACGTATCGCCAGCCCTCATACATACAGAGTACGGTAATTGAATCACTAATTCAACTTCACAAATCAATTTATTTTCATGATAATATTATATTTAATTTGTTTTGTGGATTTTAAGTTGCTTTAAATCAGTCGAATGGTCACTCTTTTTGGGCGGTCCATCAAGATCTCACGGGGTTCAAACGTGGAGTTGCTCATTTTTTAAACAGTATGCTAGAACGAAACTCGAAAACGACTAAATGATCGAAGCTAAAAGAGTTTAAAATGGCAGACTAGATGATATTTATATACAAACATAAAATCTGTACGATGGTCAATTCTCGGAAATTTATATTTACTAAAAAAATTATATGATGGTAATTAGTGCTTTGAGTTTTTATCTTCAAATGTAGATATAGTAGTTATGGTTTGCTAGTCAAAACTTTCATATTTGATTTGTATTTTCTTTTGTTTATTCACATTTCAATTAACAATAATTCTCTACCAGAGAGCTGTACCGCATAATATCTTAATTTTAAATCGTTTTTCTATAACTCAATAAGACCTACATATGGATGATAACGATTGCGGTCTACCTCGTATTGGTATTTGGTTACGAAAGTTAAACTGAAAAGGAATACTTTCCGTCATCTAACGAAATAAAGAAAACTTTGATTGATAGTCGAGTTTGAAGATAAATCATCCATTAAAAGTTCAATCTATTAAGAAGTTGTTAAAGTAAAGTTAATAGTAATGAGAGAATGTTATAAGAGTCTAAGTGATATTGATGTTATAGGAAGTGTTGTATCGATAATTCAGAGTGAACTTTCTAAGTTTCAGAAAGAGAATGGTATTTTCTTTTCGAGAAAGTTTATATTATATGTCCTTTTAGTGTTTCAGAATGTAAAGTGTTCTTGTTTACTGACCCGTACTGTTTAGTAGTAATGAATTCTTAATAATAAAACAATGATAACACTGTCGTATGTTTAACTTATCATGAACTACTGAGCTAGGTGTAGACTTTGTCAATAAAGTTCTTACGATTAGTACAATTATAAAACAAGTGTTTTCGAAGATTCTAGAGAAAAATATATCTTATTAACGTATTTACCATTGATTCATATTAAGCGATGTTATCAAAGAA